AAAAAAAAAAAAAGTGTTCTTTTCTTTTTCTCTGCTTTAAACTGGCTGTAAATCTTCAGGGTTTCCTCATTAATAATGATTTTATCCTTAACACAGATTCACTGAAAAATCTGCATCACAATGTTGCCTTTTTGGAAACTATCTTTTTTTTTGGGGGGGGGGGGGCTTTTTTTTTTTTTCTTTTTTTTTTTTTTTTTGTTTTTCTTTTCTTATTTATAAATTTTTTTTTCACTTTACATCTCTCCTCCCCTCCTAGTCCTGCCCTTCCCCTTCCTCCCTCCCCTCTTGCCTATTCCTCAGAAAAGGGGAGCTCCCTTTCCCATCCACCCCAGCTCATCAGTTGTATCAGGACTGAGCATATCCTCTTTCCCTGTGGCCTGGCAAGGCAGTCCTGCCAGAGGGAAGTGATCAAAAAGCTGGCAAGTGAGTCCTTGCCTGATGCAGCCATCACTTCGCTTACTAAAGGACCCACATGAAGCCTACGCTGTCTAGTTCATGCGTGGTCCTTGGTTGATGCTTCAGTCTCAGCAAGCCCCTCTGGGCCCAGGGTTAGTTGGCTCTATTGGTCTTCTTGTGGTGCTCCTATCACCTCCAGGTACTTTTCTCTTTCCTCCCACTTTTCCACAAGACTCCCTAGGCATCTCCCAATGTTTGGCTGTGAATCTCAGCAGCTGTTTTGAGGCCCTGCTGGGTAGAGTCTCTCAGAGGACAGCTCTGTCTGTCAGGATCCTGTCTGCAAGCTTAGCAGAGTATCCTTCATAGTGTCAGTGGTTGGCACTCTCCATAGGGCGGGTCTTTGGTTGGGTCAGGCATTGGTTGGGCATTCCCTCAATCTCTGCTCTGTCTGCTCTATCTTTATCTCTGCACATCTTGTAAGCAGGATAAATTTGGGGTTAAAGTTTTTGTGGGTGGGTTGAAGTTCCCCTCCCTCTTGAAGGAGACTAGTCTAGTGAGAGGGTGTCCTCTTCAGTCTCTACGGCCTCTGTTCCTAGGAGTCTCTGCTTGAATGCTTCTCTACCCTCCCAGGATCCTACCCTGACTTCAGTCTCCAGCTTGTCACAGAGATGTCGCCACCCTCCATTTCTCTTTTCTCTACAGGCCTTCTGCTCTCCACCCTCACTCTCCCCAGGTCTGATCTCCACCCTGTTTGTTTGTTTGTTTTTCAAGACAGGGTTTCTTGGTGTAGTCCTGGCTGTACTGGAACTTCTTTTGTAGATCAGGCTGGCCTCAAACACACAGAGATGCCCCTGCTTCTGCCTTCTGAGTGCTGGGATTAAAGGGGTGGGCCACCATCGCTGGCGGAAACCACTATTTATTTACTATCTTTTTCTGGGAAATAGCCTCCCTCATCATCCCTGACTCTAGTTCTCTGTGTCTCAGCCCTGTTTCTTCTTTAGTGCTTGATTGCTATGGGAGCTCCCGCTATTTTTTGCACGACCTTGCTAGGCATGCAAACAATGTATCTGTGTGGCTAGAGTGTAGTTCAGTGGTAGAGTGCTTGCTTAGCATTCTGATGCCCTGGACTTGACCCCTGGCAGAGCAATAAATAAACCATACATACACAAATATAATTGGCTGGGCAGACTGTAATTGAGATGGTGCCCATCTGTAATCTGGGCACTCAGTGGACAAAGACAGGAAGATTACAAGTCAGAGGCCAGCCTGGGCTATGTAGTGAGGTTAAGACTAGCCCATGGTAAAAGACTGTCTTAAAACACAACACAAGACAATAATAAATGCAAAAAAGAAAAGAAAACAAATCCCAAAAATGAGATTTAATTACCTGACCGAATGACAGCAGACTAGGTGTTCCTGCTGGGCTGGGCACCCGCTTTATGTCCTTCTCTCTTCCTTGCAGGGCCATCTGTCTGGCTTGTATTCAGCCTGCTGTGTTCCCATGGATCCTCCCCTTCAGGTCAAACAAGGACAGGCCCCGCCCAGCACATGGAGCTCTGACAGGTAAATCAATCATGGTTTTTCTGGTTCACAACAGGCTCTGGGCGTCCCCGCCTCCTCAGACTGACTACCTGCCTGCTGTGGTTACATGGAAGGCAGGAAGCATTCATAGCTAGCACACCAGCCTGGAGGGCAGTCCCTTCTTTCAATTAGGGGGTCAATTTCGGGGATTCCCAGGGACGGCTGGTGCCAGAGTCAGGACTGGGTTTCCTCTCACTGAGGTCAGCATTTCTTTCGAAATAACTGGCACAGGCTCGGGTACCAAGCCTAGCAGAGTCTTGGTGTCCACTAACTTGTTGTTTTGACCTTTGTTGTTCGTTTGTTTTTTTAAGACAGGGTGTCTCTGTGTAGTCCTGGCTGTCCTTGAACTCACTCAAGGCCCAGGCTGGCCTTGAACTCAGAGATCCACTTGCCTCTGCCTTCCGGGTGTTGGGATTAAAGGCATGTGCCACCATGCTTGGCTTTTCTGCTGATTTTTTTAAAAATAATTTCTAACTTTATTTATTTATTATTATTCGTGTGCATATGTGGGGGGCACATGTGCCACGGCCTGCTCAGAGGACAACTCAGAGGACTTGGTTCTCTTCTTCCATCCTTATATGGCTTCCTGGTGTTGTGTGTGCATGTGTCTCTGTGTGTGTGTCTGTACATATGTGTGGACTTGACACAAACTAGAGTTATATGGAAAGAGGAACCTCTGTTGAGAAAAATACCTTCCTTCCTTTCAGGTTTGTTTTATTTATTTTTATGTACTTGGCTGTTTTGGCAGCAGCTTTTGCCTGCATACCAGAAGCGGGCATCCCATCCACGGGACCACAGTTAGGGAGTTCTTCCAGTTGGTGCTCTTCCACTGAGTCAGCTCTCCAGCCACACAGTGGTGTAGGGTTTTTGTTTGTTTGAAATTTTATTTATTTATTGTGCAGAAGTCTTTTACCTATATGTGTGTTCGTGTGGGGGTATCAGATGCGCTGGAACTGGAGTTACAGACAGTTGTGAGCTGCCACTTGGGTGCTGGGAATTGAACCTGGGTCCACTGAGAAAGAACAGCCAGGGCTCTTAACCACTGAGCCATCTCTCTGGCCACCTGTTTGTTTTTGAGACGGGGCCTCATTATGTAGTCCTGGCTGGCCTGGAACTCAGAGATCCACCTGCCTCTGCCTCCTGAGTCCTGGGATTAAAGGCACTATAACACCTGGCATTTTCTTGATTAGTGATTGAAAAAGGAGGGAACAGTCACTGTGGGCAGTGCCATCCCTGGGCAGGTGGTTGTGACTTGTGTAAGAAATCAGGCTAAACAGGTGATGGGGAACAAGCCAGTAAGCCCCTCTTCCCCCTCCCCGCCACCATGGCCTCTGCTGAACTCCTCCGTCAGGGACCTGCATGATTTCTCTTTATGATAAACTACAACTGTAAGTGAAATAAGTGAAAAAGGTCGAGTGCCTTTTCCTCCCCAGGTTGCTTTCGGTCACATCATTTACCACAGCAATAGATACCCAAGTCACATGGCTTCTGAGGTCTCACTTGGGTAGGCAGATTAATATGTTTGTGTGGCAAGGACCTTTTCATGCTGAGCCATCTCACTGGCTCCCACCTCTTATGAATTAGTTTATTCTGTGTGTATGTGCATGCTCTAGGTACCTGTCCGGGTATGTGCGCTCCTTCACCCATGTAGAGGCCAGAGGAAGGTGCCAGTTTTCCTGCTCCATCACTCTTTACCCTATGACTTTTTTTTTTTTTTTTTTTTTTTTGGCAGGGGGGTTTAAGACAGAGTTTCTCTGTGTAGCCTTGGCTATTTTGGACTGGGTTTGTAGACTGGCTGGCCTTGAACTCACAGCAATCCACCGCCTCTGCCTCCCTGAGTGCTGGAATTAAGGGCGTGTGCCACCCTATTGCTTCGAGACAGGCTCTCTCACTGAACCTGGAGCTAAGTTGGTGGCAGCAAACTTTGACAGTCCTCCTGTCTCTACCACCATCGGCACTGGGGTGGGCATGCATATATGGCCACTCATGGCTCTTCACATGGGTGCTGGGGACTTGAACTCAGGTCCTCATGCTTGCTCAGCAGGAGCTCGTGCCCACTGAGCCATATCCTCAGCTCCCAGGTTCTCCATTACTCAGCTCATCTTTGAGAGAGGGGGTGTGAGCGTGGTGTAAGAACAGGGGTGGGACCTCAGGCTTGTTCACTAGAGGGACTCTCAGGCCGCAGGGAGGGTTTTACCAGCAGTTGCAGCTCATCCTGGTGAAAGGATGAAGACTGAAATCAGACATGGGAAGAGAACATAGGCTGGGGTTGCCATCGGTGCCTACCATCGCTACGGTCATTGTCACCCTCCATCATCACTATTCATATCTTCATTGTTATCATATATTCACTTCTAGGAAGAAACCGACTAAGCAACAGGCACATGTATAGACACATAGACACACGCAGACACTCAGACAGACACACACCCAGATGTTCTGACTCCGGTACATATCCTCACCCCTAAATCAAGCTGGTCCACTGCAGCAGTTGAAAGGAGGTCTGTCCATCCTCCCTCCTTTCCTTCCTCTCTCCCTTGTGTCCTGTCTCTGCCCTCAGAAGTATCTTCTTGTCCTACAGAGAAGGTCGAGTGCTTCTCAGACTACATGACCCTGAAGATCCCGAGGAGCAGTGTGCAGGGTTTGAGGCAGTGGCTGGCCAGGGTCCTGCACCAGCCAGGTAAGTCCTCGTTTCAGGCCCAGGTTTTCCTATACTTAGCCATTGCCTGGCTGGAGCTTTTGCCCTCGCACTCAGGCATAAGGGCTGCAGCTCCCTGAAGACTTCTGTCTGGGATTTATGCTGATTCCTTCCCTGACAAATCTCCCCCTTTCTGGGCCTACCCTGACCTTTCCTAAGGGGCTCCCTTCTGGTTACACTCTCATCCCATTTCCTCTCAGTTCTGGTTTCTACTTACATGACCTTCTTCCCTTGTTCACATGCTTGTCATCAGTGCCACCATCAGGTAGCTGTGAGCAGGCACAGCCCACGTGCTCTGTGTTGACAGCTGCTGTGTGTGCCTCCAGGACTAAGGACTCTCTCATGCTTAAGAGACTCCTAATAGATATTTGCTCAGTGTACAAATGGCCCCAAACTTGGATTGAGGTGCCCACCAGGTGCTAGCATGCCCCCAAACTTAAATCACACTGTAAAGCTAATGGGATAATTTAAAAATATATTCTTTAAAAATTCTGTTTATAGCTGGGTGTGGTGGTGCATGCCTTTAATCTCAGCACTCATGAAAGAGGAGGCAGGCGGATTGCTGCGAGTTTGAGGCCAGCCTGGTGTCAACAAAGCAAGTCCAGGCCAGCCAAGCCTACACGGAGAAACCCTGTCATGAAAACAAAAAACAAAACAAAACAAAAATCTGTTTATTTTAGTTTATTAGTTGTGTGTGCACACAGGCTCACTTGAGTGCATGTGTTCACAAAAATGTGCACAGTGTTCACGTGAGGTCAGAGGATAACTTGCAGGAGTCAGTTCTTTCCTTCAACCAAGTGGATCTTGGGTTTTGAACTCAGGTCATCAGGCTTGGTGGCCAGCACCTTTAATCGCTGAGCCATCTTGCTGGTCCACAATTCCTTTCTTTTCTTTCTTTTCAATTTTAAACCATGACTGCATGTGTATGGATGTTTTGCCTGCATGTAAGTCTGTGCCCCACCTACATACATTGGTAGTGGGGGCCAGAAGTGGGATTACAGTTGTGAGCCACCATGTAGGTGCTGGAAACCTGGAAGAACAGCAGCCAGTGCCCTTAACCTCTAGTCCCTGGCCCACAGGTCTCACCCTCAGAACGACCATCTCATGCTTGCTGGAAGAATCTCACTCCTAAAACAGCCAAAAAGACGGGCGCGTCATCACTTTCAGAAAACTTTGAGTTTACCCATTGCAAAGTGGGAAGACCTTCTGGGAACTTCTCAAGAAACCAGAATAGGGATGATGTGTCTGTGGCTCACCTCCTTTTGTACCTTTGGCCTCAGCGGCTGTGAGTAAGACACCCCAACTTTTCCTTTCTTTTGTGCAAAAACGAAGAAATTGAGGAGAAAAGTCTTCCCATCTCAGAATGTTTTTTTCCCTTTTCCTTTTTTTTTTTTTTTTTTTAAGGCAGCATTTTTAAAAGCTGTGGCCAGACTACCCTAGAACTCTCTGTGCAGGCCAGCTTGCCTCAGACTCAAGGCAGTTCTGCCTCGGCTGCCCCAGGACTGGAATTACAGGTGTGAGCCACCATGCTTGGCCTCATCTGGAAATTCTAAAGTGCTGTCAGGGACGGGTGTGTCCTGAATCCTGAACTGGCCCTGGTCAGCCATCCCCAACACCCGGGAGCTAGAGCTGCATCTGTGTATTAAAAGGCCACTTTTCCAGGAGAAAACGCAGTGGATACATTAAACTGTCGCCTGTTCTTTGGAAAGCCATTATTAATGGAAAACAATAGATTAATAGTTTTAAAACGCTTGTTCAATAAGTAATTTTTATGGCTCTGGATAGAGCCCATTAAACATTTCTGTGTGTTATTATAAAGAAGTTTTAAGTGTAAAATCATAAAGTCAATAATCGGGGAATTAGTCACAGCAGCCAGACACAGGCCATTAGTTTTAGGCGCTGTCAGAGACACCTGTGGCTTCGGAGGGAGAGCGGTTCTTTCCTCAGCAGCGCCAGGTGGGGTTGCAGAAACGATGCTGCCTGCTGCCTTCCATACAGTCGAAGGGACAGCAAGCAGGTGTGAGCAGCAGGGTGCAGGCAAATATTTACAAAGTGCAGACGTGAGTGGGGAACTGAAGCGATCCGGGTCAATTTGCACATCCAGGCTTAGACACTTTATTTCCCCAGCGATCTGCCTTTCAGAGCCACAGGCTGGGCCTTGATCTCCTGCTAAAGATAGCCATGAAGGCTTCACACTCTTAAAAGGAAAGCATGTCACCAGAGAGTCCCTTACACACAGGCGGCTGGAGCTGTCGCCTGCAAGGGTGTCTCCCATCAACACAGAATGAAAGTGTGGGCTTTGGGCGGGAGAGACTTTAAAAAAAAAAAATCATCTTAAAAGCAACATGAGATAATTATGGAAACAGAGGAAATCTAAAGATGATAATGAAAACTGCCTGTAATCCCTCTGCTCAGTGATATTCCTCTTTGTGTTTCACTCATCCAATAAATGTTTACTGGGAGCCCTCTATGCGCCAGATGCAGCTTAAGGCGCTAGGAATACAGCGAAGAACAAAACAGATAAGTACTCTCGGCGCCACGGGGCTGGCATTTGAACGGAGGGCAACAAGACCGTTCGTTGCTATAGTCATGGTCATATTTTTCAGCAGGTGAGGCGGTGATGTGTGATGCAGAAAAGGGGGTCTGGGAGTGGGGCCAGGTTAAGAGAGGGGCGAGGGAGGCTCCGCTGGCAGAGGCCTCATTGACAAGGGGGCTTTACCTAAAGTCATGGGAGTGGTGGGCTGAGCCACACAGGCATCAAGAAAAGAGTTGCAGGCAGAAGACGAAACCAGAAGAAAGGCCCTGCGTGCACCCACAATGTGTTAGAAAGGGCAGGAAGGCCAGTGTGGCGACGACGGAGCACGGTCAAAGGCTAGCCACGCCTCGCAGGGGTCTCTGCAAGTGGAGTGAACCGGTGCAGGCCCAAAGGGGCCTCCGTGGGCTGCTGGGGGCGGGCAGGTAGACTGCGGTGGACTGAGGGAAGCAGGAGAGGAGCTAGGAGACAGGTGGGAGGGGAGAGTGGCAGAACTGACAGGCTCTGCTGGCGTCAGCCTTCCAAGACTATCTTCGCTGTTCTCTGGAGCTCCAGGACAGGGCGGTCTGGGCTTATGTCTGACCTCGCCCTCTGTTGCTCTACTGTGGCTCTGTCTGTTTCCATCACAGGCACCAAGAGAGCCCCCAGCCACCTGGATTCTCTTCTTACCCAATGTGGTTACCGGTTGCACCCCGCTCATGAGGGCGGCTTCATCTTCCGAGCTCTGTACTCTGCCTGCTTTGTACAGAAGGAGGTGGGTTTGAGAAACTACTCATTTCCTGTGCTGGGGTCAGAGCTCAGGGCCTCACACAGGCTAGGATGCAAGGCAAGTGCACACCTCTGAATTACCCGGCTCCTTTTGTTGCTGCTGTGGGATACAGCCTTACTATAAAGCCATGGCTAGCTTGGGTTTATTAGCTGTGTAGACTGGGCTGGCCGCAGACTCATAGAGATCTGCCTGCCTCTGCCTCCTGAGTTCTGGAACTAAAGGCGTCACCACCACCTCCAGCTCCCTCCCCCTTTTCCTTTTCCGTTTTGGTTTTTCGAGACAGGGTTTCTCTTTGTGTAGCCCTGGCTGTCCTAGACTTGCTTTGTAGACCAGGCTGCCCTTGAACTCACTGAGATCCATATGTCTCTGCCTCCTGAGTGCTGGGATTAAGTAGAGGCTGGCCTTCCAGCCCACCTCCCCCCCATACCAGCTTTCATCCCTCCCACACACACTACAGCACTCACCCTTGGTCTTCTTGCAGGAGAAGGAGGTCAACCTGGGCACTTGTTGGGACCCCTCGGCCTGACAGGTTGAAGCTCTGTTGTAGAAATGCCCATGTGCTGTTGGCTTAGTTGCTCACGTGACGCTGAGCCTCAACTGCCTCAGCTGTAAAATGGGACCAAGAGGTTTCTTACTGGGGTCAAAGGGAGCAGGCTATAAGCAGATACTTGTCAGGGATGATGGGTTACACACTGCCATGCTGCCTCTCTAAGGATGACCTTCCTGAAAAGTACAGCAGTCCCCAGCCCCAGGGACTTCCCCAGGGGCTATGCCACGGGCTGGGATCTGCCTTGGTTCCCAGTCCCTGAGACCCTACCACTTGCTTCTTGGCTCCTCCATGGGTCAGGCCTCAAGAGGCTTGTGTTGGTCATGCCCACTGCGACCAGAGGCTGACCTGTAATTTTGGCCTATTAACTGCATTTTCTTCTTTCTTCTGCATGTGTGAATTTTGCCTGGCTTCCAGGAAGCAAATTACAGGTTGGAAATCAGAATGTTTCAAAGGGGGGCAAAAAGGTTGAAGCAGAGCAATCGCTACATAATGAAGTGTCCCGTGAGCATGTCGAAGCTGGGTGAACAGAACGTCCGCTGCCATCCCTCATTCATCCAGGTGACAGCTTGGGAGGGCCTGGCCCAGGGTTCGGGGGGCTCGAGGTGGTGGTAGAGCATCCTGGGTTGGCCCCCTGCAGAAGCTCAGGAAGAAGACTGTGGTTCCTGAAACTTGGGATGCAGCCAGGCAGAAGTGACGGCTAAAGACGCAAGGTGGGACCTCTCTCTGCGGACCTTCATAGTGCTGGCCGGGGACCGCCTTCCACTGGGCTTTTGAGCAGTGAGGCATGCGTTGGGGTAAGGGGTGAAGAAGTCTCTGAAGCTCTGTTCTTCATGCCGTCCAGTCAACACCAAAACATTTGTGGCCAAACACGGTAGTGCGCGCACACCTGTGATCCCAGCACTTCGGGAGGCAGAGGCAGAGGCAGAGGCAGAGGCAGAGGCAGAGGCAGAGGCAGAGGCAGATGAATCTCTGTGAGCTCGAGGCCAGCCCAGTCTGCAAAGTGAGTCCAGGACAGCCAGGGCTACACAGAGAAACCCTGTCTCACAAAAGCAAGCCAAACAGAACAGCATTCGCGTTTTTCTCTCTGGATTAAGGGAAGTTGCTGTCTCGTGTCAGACTCTCTTCTCCCACTCCTCTCTTTCTGTCTTTCTTTCTGTCTGTCTCTCTCTCTGTATTCATGAGAATGAGCATGAGTCTCTTTTCTTTTTTTTGTGACAGATTTCTTTATGTAGCCTTGGCTGTCCTAGACTCGCTTTATAGACCAGGCTGGCCTCGAACTCACAGCGATGAGCCTGCCTCTGTCTACTGATATCCCAAGTGCTGGGATATCAGGCGTGTTCCACCACCATGTCCAGCTAAAGCATTATCTATCTATCTATCTATCTATCTATCTATCTATCTATCTATCTATCTATCTACACAGTATTCTGCCTGCACGTGTGCCTACACGCCAGAAGACGGCACCAGATCTCATCATAGATGGTTGTGAGCCACCATGTGGTTGCTGGGAATTGAACTTAGGACCTTTGGAAGAACAGCCAGTTCTCTTAACCTCTGAGCCATCTCTCCAGCCCCTGTGTAACAGCTCTGGCTGTCCTGGAACTCACTTTGTAGACCAGGCTGGCCTTGAACTCAGAGATCTGCCTGCCTCTGCCTCCTGAATGCTGGGGCTAAAGGTATGCACCACCACACCAGCCTGGATCCTCCTTTTTAATCTAGGTCGTATCAAAGATCTATAGACATCAGGGTTGGGGGTGTACATGGTCCCAGTTTCCATCTCCGGCAGTGAGGAGCAGTGTATTTCAGATGCAGCATCCCCATTGGAAAGAGCACAGGCCATTGGACAGAGATCTGCCTGCCTCTGCCTCCCAGAGTGCTGGGATCATAGGCGTGCGCCATCGTCCCCAGTGCCTGGTGGCATCTTAAGTTCAAGTTACTCTGTAGCCCTTGGGACAAAGAAAGACTTGGCTCGGAGCAGGAGTGGGTCGCAAACCCACAGCGGAAATGAGTGTGCCAGACAGAGAAAGGAGTAAGGACGTGAACTCCAGCTCTCATTTCCTCAGCGCAGCTTATCTTTCCGTTCTCCCGCTACGCCGGGTGTTTGTGGTTTCTTCATTTTGGTGTTAAGGCTGGAACTCAGGACTTTGCATCTATTAGGCCAGTGGTCCACCGCTGAGCCGAGACCCTGCCCCTGCTTTGCTAACGCTGACCCATCTCAGCCTTGTAGCACCGCAGGCTGGAGGCCCTGTTTAATCCCCAGCCCTCAGAATAGACAAGTAGGCCCAGAAATGAGAGTTGTTGAGGTGTCATAGCTGGCAGTGGCAGAACGGGGCTATGAGTCCGAGGTGTAATGGGCCCTGGCAAGCTAGAACAGGCCCTATAGGCCCCTTCCATGAGCTATGTTAAGCTACATTATAAAAAAGTTGACTGCTGGGAAAGTGGCTCTGTGATCCAGTGCTTTTGTGTGTGTGTGTGTGTGTGTGTGTGTGTGTGTGTGTGTGTGCAGTTGTTTACTTACTTTGTAACAAGGGCCGCAGGGTGGCCTCAAACTCCCTGTGTAGCAGAGGATGACCTTGAACCTCTGATTCTCCTGCTTCCATCTCCCAAGTACTAGGATTACAGGTGTGACACCACACCTGCTTTATGTGACAGTGGGGGCTAACCTATGGCTTCACGAATGCTACGGGAACAGTACCAACTGAACCCACCCAACATCCAAAAATGTTAACTTTAATTTGTGAATTCTCTGTGGCCTCCCAGCACTGTGGAGGCAGAAGTGGGCAGATCTCTGAGTTTGAGATCCGCCTGTTCTACGGAGTGAGTTCCAGGATAGCCAGGGCTACACAGAGAAACCCTGTCTCAAAAAGACACACACACACACACACACACACACACACACACACTGTGTGTGTGTGGTCAAACAATACTGAATGTTTGATGGTGCACACCTGGAGTCGAGCACTCAGGCCGTTAAGGGGATGGACTAAATTTGAACTCAGCCTGGGCTACAGCTCAAGACCCTTCCAGAAAGTGGGTAAAGCTGCTTGCCACCACACCTGAGTTTGATTCCCGGAACACACATAGTGGAAGGAGAGACCTGACTCCTGAAATTTGTCCTCTGACTTCCACACATGAACCAGAGCACACACACGTACATACTCCCACACAATAAATAAATAAACAAAAACCCAAACATCCCCAAACCCAAATGTTCAGTTTTTTCCTGCTAACTGAGGAGAGGTGAGGAGAGGTGAGGAGAGGACATTCGAGCCGAGGTTGGAGGGAAAGACCTGCTAATGACAATACCATCCACTTAAGATGCAGCCACAAAGCGCAGGCCGAATGCCAGGCTCCGTGCGCGTGCCAGCTGATCAGATGTGAATGGGTGTTGGCCTTGCCTGGGGAGGGCCCTGCAGCCCCTTCTCATCCATTCTAGCCTCTGAAGTGAGTGTGCTGAGACGGCAGAGCTGAGCAGAGCCTGGGACCGCAGCTCTGGGCCTGCTCCCTGCAGAAACTCTGGAGTTTCCTGCCACTCAACTTTAAGGAGTAATACCTGAGGCAGAGGGATGTTTAGGCCCCATTGTGGTCATGCCAGGCGGGGTGTTGCTGTCCCTGAGAGTCACAGGCCTCGTCCTAAAGCTCTCCCAGCATGGCTATGGAGCATGGGTTTGACAAGTCTGGGGGCTGGTCACCTCTCTTTTCACTGGCCTGTAATTTTGAGAGCGGCCACCAGGGGGACAAGGTTGCCCGTGTCATACAATACTGGACAGAAACCCAGAAGAAAGCAGAGCTAGTAGCCAGCCAAGTGCCCACTTTCTCCCTTTTGACCTGCCAAGATCCCGTGTCCTTTCCCAGTGTAGGTGTTGGAACTGGGGGACTCTTATGCCCCTGGGCAGAGTTCCAGAGAATCGGCTGCACGGGAGCAACGGGTCTCAGCTGCCCCCGTCTCCTCTGTTCCGCTCCCCCCCACCCCCCCCCCCCCCAATCATAGAACCTCACCACCTCATCTAATTGACTGATTCATTCCTGGTGACTTCTGCAGCCGTTTCCACGGCTGCACCTTGAACTTGCATTAAGTTTTAATTAAAGCCGTTACACCAGCCTTGCCCTTGGCTAAATGCAGCTGTGGGCACAGGGCACATAGATATTTAATACTCTGCCTCTCCCCGCTGATGGCACAGGGTGCCCAAGGGTGTACCCGAGCCATGCCCTGCTTGAAGAGATCTGCGAGCTTGCTTAAGTGTGCCCACAAGCCCCGAGCGGGAGGCTGAGCAATAACTATTCATTGCCCTGGGTTAAGTGTGCCCAGGGGCACCGGTAAACTCAACGCAGCGATTAGCAATTGCTCCCGAGGAAGACTGCCCGAGGTCCTGCTGAATGGCTGCGGGCCCTAAATATAGTCTGCTCGTGGCCACTTAGAGGGCATGGTGGGTTTGGACTGTGCACCTGACCCCACTTCCTTCTCTTTCTTTACACAAAATTGCTTCCTCCATGGAAAAGCCCCTCTTCCGGGGCTGCCCTATGCTGTAAGGCTGGGGTGTAGAGATGAGAGGGGGCCTTTGGTGGCCAACCTGGGAAATGTGGGATCCCTTACCATCTCACCGAACCTCAGGTGTCTTCCCCATTCCTTCCTCTCTACTCCCGACGTGAAGTCAGTCCCCCAAAGTGAGGAAATTAGGCTCCTTGTGCGCTGTGCTGAGCCTGTTGGCAATGGCGGGGGGTGGGGAGGGGACAGCTGTGGCACTGACTAGGTTGAGAAGATGGGGGCCATCCCCAACCCCATCCGCTTGCCTCCGGGCCTGGAAGAACGGACTCTGTACGTGTGGGGGGAAGGGGAGGCGGCCTTAGGTGGCAGAGCTGTCGTGGCTCATTAGTCTTCTTGGACTCGGCGTGCTTAATTTTTATGGGAGGAGGGGAGCAGAGGTAGTCGCTCTCTGCTGATCTGACTCTGGCCTACGCCTCCATCTCCCTGCCCATGCTTGCAGCAAAGGTAAAGGTGGTGGGGTGGGGGGCGAGGCAGTAGAGGCTAAGGGGAGGGCTGGGAGATGGCTCGGGGGCACTGCCACCCAGGCCTGACAACCTGAGTTCCATCTCCGGGACCCACATGCTAGAAGGAAACAGCTGGCTCCCCTACGTTGTCCTTGGACCCCTACATGCACACAGTGGCAGGTGCGTGCCCACACACACACACACACACACACACACACACACACACACGCACACACGACCGACATAATGAGTACATCAATAATGTAGTAAAGGAAATGTAGGTAAGAGGGCAGCTGGGTACAGCTGGGCTCAGGCGGGTCCCTTTGCTGACACCCCGAGGCTCAGGTGCAGTAAGGGACCAGCTGTCCACGTTTGCCTGAGACCATCGGCATTTTAGCATTGAAAGTTCTTCATTGGGGGAACCTGGGATGATTGGGCATTCTAAGCATGGTGCCAAGGGTGGGCACACTTGTCTATCTTTGCTCATTGGAGTCCACAGGGAAAGAAAAGAGTGAGGAAGAAATGGGTGACTGTGGGTGAGATGAGGTGGGAGGACGTGGAAGAGGCCTGGGACCCACCCCACCACATCTTGAACAGCAGGGCCACGCTGCGAGTGCACACAAACACACACACACACACACACACACACACACACACGCACACACACGCGCACACACACACACACGCACACCTCCGCCTTGCCAGCTGTGCTCTGCGCTCCAGCTGCCCTGCTGGCCTGGCCCAGGGTGGCAGCTGAGGCGACATTTCCCTGGGTCTGTTGACACTTGAGTCCCAGAACATAAATGATTTTCTTGTCTTAATGAGCAAACAATTGGGGCGGCACAGCTCTCTCGCTGGGCTCCTACTGAGGCGATTGCAGAAGAATTTGCTCACTCACCTTTGCCCACAGCTTGCAAATGTTGCTTCCTCTCTGTTTTGCAGGTCTCTAGGCCCCTGCCTCCGAGGATCAATGATGGACAGGTAGGTGAGGTATGGGCGTTGCTCTGGAAGGTTCTGCTGGGCTCTGAGGCAGGGCGTCATTACTTCCACGGCCCTTTGTGGAGAGTGTCCATGGACAGTAGTGACCTTTGTGGGTCTGGGGCTTGGCAGAACTGGCCCTCCTCCTGGCATACCATGCAGAGGCCTGAAGCTGTCTGGAAAAAGCCCGGTGGGACCCTGCTGTGGTAGGAAGCCTCAGGGTGCTGCCATGCTAAGATTTTCTCTGAAAGGCACAGTGGCAGGAGCAGGCAAGGCCACCCATCCCTGAGGTGTCATCTCTATTTTCCTTTCCTCACTTCCTCTGCCTTCCTTCTCTTTGGTTTTGAGACAGAATTTCACTATATAGCCCTGACTGGCCTGGAATTATCTATGTAGATCAGGCTGGCCTTGATCTTACAGAGGTCTACCTGCCTCTGCTTCCTGAATGCTGGGATCAAAGGTGTGTGCCACAATGCCCAGGCTACCTCCTCCTCCTTTTTTTTTTTTTTTTAAATAGGGCCTTAAGTAGCCCAGGCTGGCCTTGAATTCACTAAGTAGCTGAGGGTGACCTTGAACTTCTGGTTCTCCTTGAGAACTTCTTGTCTCCTGAGGGCCAAGGAGGGGGAACTGAGTCTCTCCTACCACACGAGTTTAGGTGGCCAGAACTCCAGTCGTTAGGTTTGGCAGCAAGTGTTTTTACCTGCCGAAGTGTCTTGATGTCCCCTACCCCTTCACTGGGTGTGTATAGATATAACAGATCAGGGAATCAAATCCTGGGTGTGCTAGGCAATCACTCCACCAACGGAGCTGTGTGCCCCCGCCCCCACCCAGTATTTGTTGTTTGGAGAGAAGGTTTTACTAGGTAGCCCGAGCTGTCATTGAACATTTAACATGGAAACCCCCTGCCTCACACTCCCAAGTGTTAGGAACATAGGCATGAGTCACCACACCAGGCACTGGACGTTTCTCCTGCTCTTACTCGTTCCCACAGCCGCCTGGGAAGACCCAGCCCCTCTTCCCCTCATACCGCTTTGAGTCTTTGGAGTCCATGCATGCCTTTTGTCCTAAAGTCCACCCTCCACCCCACCCCCGCCAATCCTGGACTGGGATGTAGTTCCTTCCTGTACCTCTTGTATTGCCAGGAACCCATGTTTATTCAAGACCCCAATTGCCAGTGGTCCCACTCCAGGGTGGCCATGAGAGCCCATGACAATGGGATGCCAGGCATGCTGTCCTGGAGAGTACTTAGACTGAGTGGCTGGCCCTGCTCTTTCGGGCACAGTTCAGGTCTGCTCCCCGGAAATAAAAGGGTACCAGTGTCCTCAATTAGCTGCCACCTACCCCTTAGCCAACTGATCCTCTCTGTGACTCCTCTCGAGAGCACCCTTGCTCCTTGGCCCTGAGTGACCATGTCTCCCCGGTGAGCTGGACTGTGACTTTGCCTTATGTCTTCAGACGCCATGGCTGCTGTCCCTTCGAGGGGAGCTGGTGGCTTCTCTGGAGGATGCCAGCTTGATGGGATTAGATGTGAATATTGGTGCTACCACAGTTACTATCCAAAGCCCAAGACAAGAACTTCTTCAGAGGCAGGAGGTCAGTGGTGGACTTCAGGCCCTGGCAGGCTTGAGTGTTTGGGGCGGGGGGTGGCTCTGTAGCCTGGCACCCCAAGGAGCCCTTTGTCACCCTGAAGTGCCAATTCACGTGTCCACCTGTGAGACTGGACAGATTTAGGCAGGCGGCTTGGAAAATTGGGCCCCATTAGTGTAAACTGCTCCGCTCGGCAGATGAGGGGCTCCGGCAATCATGTATTCAGCGCGTCCCGATCACGGTGGCAGGGGCATAATTACCATCTCTTTAAATAGCCCAAAGTTGCCGTGTAAGAGAAGACGGCTCACATGACATTTGCTCCGAGCTTGCTTCCTGCTAAAAATATCCTGGCTAAATAATATTTCCTGGTTGCACGGGAGCAACAGGCCCTGGCCTGGGTTCTGACTCTTGGGGCTTTGTTCAGAGATGAGCTGGACAGTGGATTAGGGGGGGTGGGGTGGAGGGAGTGTGCCTCTGGAAGAAACAGTGGCCACAGGGGCGCCTTCCTGCCTTCCCAGGTGTGGAACTCCTCCTTGGAGCTCCTGCCACTGTGGCTGGTGAGCGGCTCCTATGCCTACTCCTTCAAGGCTGCGTGCCCGCTGGGTAAGACCCAGGAGTGCCCCTAATGCTCACCTCTCCGACTTGAGCATTGCCTGTCCCCCCTGTTTTCTCCCTTCTGCCAACCACCTTGTGCCCCTGCCCCCTCGCCCTGCTCGGTCTCCCCTTTTCTTAGCCCCGTCCTTGGCTGAGGGCTTCTGACCCGCTTGGTGCTGAGAGGAGTTTGAAGGGATGTGACTGCAGTCGGCGTGGTGTGTAGAGCGTGACTGAACGGTGCCTTCTCCTGAGGCTGCAGACCTGGGGTCAGGGAACTTCTGGGGGCCCCAGGCGGTCTCTAGGGATGCTGAGGACAAAGATGGGAAAGGTTCTGCAGTCTTACTCTGCAAGGCTTAGAGGCGACGGCCTCTCTTCCCATGCACTGTGATACCCTCCCTTCTGCACCGTGAAGAGGCCCGGACTTTACTGACCTCTAGGGAATTTAAATTCTAAAGCTCTCACTATGCAAAGTTAGACCCATCAAAAGGCTTTGTCCTGTGTGGGTAGATGAGAGATGAGGAACCCTGCAGGTTTGATCAGAATTTTATCATGAAATAAGTCTCAGAATGAGAACTCCGGGGAACCCGGGGGGCCTTGGGAGACGTCCTTGCCAAGTCCATACACATCTCCTGCCCTGTTGGTGCTATTTGAAATATCTTTATTTGGAGACAAATGCTTTCATTTAGCAACTGCAGCGCTGGCTCAGAATGTCCCCGTGAGAGGGCTGACACAACAAAATTCTTGCTAAAGTGTAAACAACCGATATGAGTTGTGTTTCCTAACAGCAGCTTGTAATGGAAGGAGGATCAGGCAGGGTCATGGAATACAGTGTTGGGAGAGAAAGGCCTTCCTGCTCCTGGCACCTGCCTTTCCACCGACCTTCTGGGAGTTAGGCAGGGTGGCCTCTTTTTTTCCTCCCCTCTTTTGTCCATGCAGGCATGGTCTCGGGACACTAAGTCACAGTGTTAAAGTCAATGGAGTCATGTGTGGGGCTGGTCACAGCTATGGTCTGGCTAAGGCCTTGTGTATCTATGACTCATTTTCTGGGTTACATTTCCTTCACAGCCTCATCCCAGCCAGGGTCAGAGATCTCAGTTCACATCCCCAAGCAGAGGCTGGGTCTGGTCAAAAGAGGATCCCGAATTGACGAGTCTCTGAGTCCCAGGTTCCTTCGGGTGCGCCAGTCCGACAGCTTCACAGTGGCAGAGGACAGGGACTTTGTGGTTGTCAGTATCCCAGCTGTGCTGCTGCTCCGGGACCAGGTCAGTGTCCTGGTGGCACCGCCATGCTTCCTCCGAGTCCTCCTGCTGGGGCCAGAATTCTCTTAGTGCCAGAATTAAACTGCAGAGAGCAGGACTTTGGGGCTGGCTGGGTGGTGGCCTCCCCCGGAGGTTCAGCTTTGCTTTGGAGGTGGCCCCAGTGGCAACAGCTGTAGGACATGAGATGCCTCTTGTTCCATGTAATCAATGCCTTGCTGCCCTACAGCCATGCCAAGAGGCCAGAGAATCCCCAGGGACTCGAGCTTTCTACAGGGTGGACCTGAGCCTGCGCTTTGCAGAGGCCATGTCCCCAGTGCACTGGACGGTGGAGCACTTTTTCCAGTGTGCGGGTAAGTGGGGAACCCTGAAAGCGTACCTCCTGTCGACAGGCACAAGCCGCACAAGGTCACGTTCCCTGCCCTGGGTTCACTCTCCTAGGACAGCGTTTCGTTCTCTGGCTCAGAGAGCCTCCACGTGTAAGCAGCGTAGTGATTCTTTCAGGCATGCTGCTGGAACCGGCTGGGACAGAGAGGCCTGGGCGCTGAATGGTGAAGAGGTGCCTGGCTGTGGGCAGGAGATGGAGGTGGGAGAGCATCCGCTGTCCAGCCCAGCCTCTGTGCATGTGTGTGGGTGTGTGTGTGTGCATGATGTGCACACGATATGGAAGCCAAAGGTTAACGTCCAATGTCTGCCTTATTCACTCAGCTTGTTTTTTGAGACAGTCTCTCAATGAATCTCAAGCTTACCTACTCAGCTAGTCTGACCAGCTGGGAAACTTCAAGTGCATGCTAAGAGTGCAAAGGCAGCTGGAGAGATGGCTCAGTGGGTAAGAGCACTGGCTGTTCTTCTGTAAGGCCCTGAGTTCAATTCCCAGCAACCACATGGTGGCTCATAACCATCTATAATGAGATCTAGTGCCCTCTTCCGGTGTGTACACATTTGTGCAGGCAGAGTATTGTATAAATAATAACTAAATCTAAAAAAAGGAAAAAGCTCATTAAAAAAACACAAAAACAAAAACAAGCTCATGCTGAAGCATGAGGCTTTAAAAAGCATTTCATTGGGATTTTTGTTTTGTTTTGTTTTGTTTTTCCAAGACAAGGTTTCTCTGGGTAGCCTGGCTACCCTGGAATTCAATCTGCAGACCAGGCAGGCCTTGAACTCAGAGATCCACCTGCCTCTGTCTCCCGAGTACTGGGATTAAAGGTGTACACCACCACCATTACCACCCAGATTTTTTTTTTAAAGATTTATTTATAAATGTATGAGTGCTCTATCTGCATGTTTGTCTGCATGACACAAGAGGGCACCAGATTTCATTATAGATAGTTGTGAGCCACCGTATGGGTGCTGGGAATTGAACTCAGGACCTCTGGAGGAACAGCCAGTGCTCTTAACTGCTGAGCCATCTTTCATGTATGTCATGAGCACCTTTGTGTACCTGGTGCTCATGGAGGCCAGAAGAGAATTTCCAATCCCCTGAAACTGGAGTTGCAGACAGTGTGAGTTATCCTGTGGAGGCTGGGAACCAAACCTGGTCCTCTGGAATCGCTGCCAGGGCTTTTAAGCACTGAGTCATCTCTCCAGCTCCATATCTTTTTAAGTTTTTTATTTTTATGCTTATTTTTTCTTTCAAGACAGGATTTCTCTGTGTGGCCTTGGCTGTCCTGGACTTGCTTTGTAGACCAGGCTGGCCTCGAACTCACAGAGATCCACCTGCCTTTGCCTCCCTGAGTGCTGGGATTACAGGTGTGTGCACCAGCATGTCCAGAGTCTTTATGTTTAATTTTTTTTTTTTTTCAAACAAGGGTTTTAGAGCTCTGAACTCGGGTCCTCAGTCTTATTCTTGCATGGCAACTGCTTTACTGACTGACCTATCTTCTGTCTTTATCTATCTGACCTATCTATATCTTTGTTTCTGAGACAGGTCTCAGTGTGGAGCTTTGGTTGGTCTTAGATTCCCTCAGTGCCCGGGGTTCTGGGTTTGCAGGCTTGTGCCGCCTGAATGTCCCCTCGGTTTTCCATTTTGTTTTGTTTTGGGAGACAGTCAGAGACCCAGTTAGTCTAGGCTGGCCTTGAACTCACCACATAATCAAAGATCACATTGAATTTCTGGTCCTTTTTCCTCTAGCCCACAAGTGCTGGGATCACAGGCAAGTGCCACCACGTCCGATTTATGGCGTCAGGGGGATCCAGCCCAGGGCTTCGTGCATGCCAGGCAAACACTCTTCACACTGAGCCCCTGCCTGGTCCCACCTTAGTTCCACCCCACCCCTCCCCCGCCCGGATCTGGAACAGAGAGCCAGTCACAAACACTGATCAGACAGGTGACTCAGGAGACCACCGGCTCCCAGGAGGCACCATTTCAGTGTGTTCCACCATCTCTGGGGGCTCCGGCTCCCCAGCTCAGACTGTGCATCACACCCTTCATCCAAGGGGAGGGGTAAACACTGGTTCCGACCCCTGTCCGGGAAGCTTGCAGCCCTGTTTTGGAGGGGGGGTGTCGGTGAAAGCCGCGCTACCAGACAACCTGGTATTCACACATGCAAAACCACCAGGAGCAAAACCCATTCAAATCCAGCACGAGGAAATACACATAATTCACAAATGATGTCAATCACTTTCATCTCAGACTTCCTAACTGTCCTCAATAGAAGACAGACGGAAAGGAGATTGAACTCAGATGTTAAAAGTGCAAGAATGCCCCGTTACCAGGATATGATGTCTCGGTGCTGCATAAAAATGTAATTATATTCAGAACTATATTTAAAGATTAAAAGGGGGACTGCCTACCACATCTAGCCCCGAACTCGGAATTAGAAACAAAGACAAAGGCGGGATGGGTTGGGGGTTGGGGGTGGGGTGTCAGGACGGGTCGAGTTCTAACCGGCTGCTAAAAATGGAAATATTTCTCAAAAGTTTTTACGTGTTTTGGCTGCTTTTGTTTTAACAGTTTCCTGCGGCACTGATATTGATTTTGAAAGGGAGGGCAGCAACTCTGCCCAGGCACTGCGCAGCCAGGGCTTGCAATGGGAGTGGAGGGAGGGAGCAGAGGCCACCAAATGGGGGTCTCTTCAGCAACCTGTGAGGGCAGATAAGAGACTTCTGGGGAGCCTGGCAGAAGGGCGGGGTGCTGAGATGGCCGGTGTCCTGGCCTCTGAAGGGTAGGTAGGTTCTTCACGGAGAGATAATGAATAAAACACAAAAATAGCAACAGCAATAAAAACATTTTAGGGAGATTTTTTTTTTTCCTCCCTGGGAAGATTTACATGGGGAAAGAATGTTCCCTTTCTGGTTTTATTAATTTCCTATCAGCAGCCGGGATGAATCTCTCTCCTCCCCGGTCCCCCGGCGCACCTCCTCTGTAACTCCCTGCAGCTTCTAGAGATTTCTGTTCTTTTTTTAGTTCCTGCTCTGCGCCCCTGACTTTCCCTGCAGTCTGGAGGCTTGAGAGTGGGGCCTGTGTCCCCTGCCGGTCCTCTCCTCCAGCTGTTTCCATCTTGCCTTAGCAAGTGCATGTTAGACCCAGTTTTCACCAGGAATTTTCACGAAATGTGTTTCTTTTGTCAACATGCGACTTGTGAGTTAGACTAGGAACTGATTAGCACACTCCTTTGATCCCAGCCCTTGGGAGACAGAGGCAGGTGGATCTCTGCGAGTTAGAAGCCAGCATGATCTACAAAGTGAGTCCAGGACAGCCAGGGCTACACAGAGAAACCCTGTTTCTAAGAAACAAAAACAAAACAGAATGTGAACTGACTGTCTAAGTCCTTGTGCCTATGGGACTCTCCTTTCAGATGTGTTTACTTTGGTTTTTTGCGGATGGGTGTTCTGCCTGCATGTATGTCTATGTGCCATGTTTGTGTCTGGTGCCCTCAGAGTCAGAAGAGGGCACCAGATCTCGTGGAACCTACAAGTTCCAGGTGGTTGTGACATACCACATGGGTGCTGGGAACTGAACCCAGGTCCCCTGAAAAGAGCAGCAACTGGTCTTCACAACCAAACCCTCTCTTCAGCCCCAGGTTACAGGTTTTTTTTAAAGTCTCCCTCTTCCCTGACATAATGAAAACCAACCGAAACAGTATCCTAACTGTTTCAGATGGCAGGTTCTGAGGGCGATGGTGTAAGTGGGGTGCCCGGCCCCAGAAAAGAAAGTTGATGATAGTGGGGGGGGGTCACTACAGTCATCTTCACCTTTGAAGTTGGAGAAAATGGCTCAGCAGGTAAGGTGCTTGCTGCTGAGCCTGATAGCCTGAGTTTGACCCCCAGGACCCACATGGAGAAGGGAAGAAGTGACCCATGCAGTGTGACACGCGTGTTTCCCTGCAATAAAACTTTTAAATATGCAAGTGAGAGGCCTGGATGGAAATGTTGGTAGGAGTTAGGTAAAAAGTAAAAACCAGTGAGGGTCTGGACCCCCTGGGCCCAGGTGTGGGGTGATAGAGTAGTGGACTTTAGGATAGGGAGAAGAGGCGGGCAGTCCTGGGCAGCAGATGGGGTCAGACTCCCAGAGACAGGCCTGACATCTCTGGGGATGCGTCTGAGGGGTTTCTGCCCTGTGCAGAGGTGCACCACGATGGCCACGTCTGTTCACTTTTCTGTGTGAAACTGATTATAGAAAGTGTTCTCTAAGAGCTGGGCTTGGTGCCTCATGCCTGTGATTGGAGCTGTGGGGGCTGAGACAGGAGGAAGGAGGAGTTCAAGAACAGCCTGAACTACATATGGAAATCCTGTCTCAGACACAACAACACAACAGAGTCCCTGCAGAACAGAGCCATTTTAACCGCCCTGCAGCCTGAACCAAGAATGTCAAATGACTATACTGGCCTCACAGAGTTGCTACTTAGCATGTCTGGGGGATGACACCAGCAGCTGGTACCCAGAGGCCAGGGATGCCGCTGAGGTGCCCCACCTCACAGGAGAGGATGGTCTGGTCTAGAACATCAGCAGTGCTTGGGCTGGCTAGCCTGAGAACACGTGGACAGGGAACACTATCCAGTTCTGATTGATTCCTGGGGCTGGGCCAATCAGTGAGTTGTATCTCAAAATAGGAGCTGGCTCTATGCTGAAACCAGCTGGTAACATCCAGGCTGGGCAGTGGGCTGGGATCAGGTGGTCTTTGCAGAACCCTAGATTTATGTATTTTTAGTTTGTTGGTTTTTGAGACAGAGTCTCAAAGCCTAGACTGGCCTTACACTTGCTATTCAAGGATGATGACCTTGAATTTCTGATCCTTTTGCCAACACCTTCTGAGTATCTGGGATTACAGGTGTGTATCACTATGCTTAGCTTATGCTATGCAAGCGTGTGCATGCTAGGCAAGCCTTCTACCAACTTAGCTGCATTTCTAGCTTATACAATTTTATTTCAAAGTCTTGTGAGAGTCAGCCGTGAGGATAACTCCTATCCCAGTTCTGGGCACTGACCACCACCAGGCTTCTGTTCCGTGGGGAAGGGGATGGATGCTCACAGCCATCATGGCTGATGGATGTCAGGAAGACTTTTACTTTCTTAGGGGGAAGGCTGACTTCATCTTTCCATTTTGAAAGGTTCAAGGGAAGAGTCACTTGTCTCAACAGCCACACCGAGGATGACTCCACGCACCCTGGCCCCTGGAGGGGAGGCTGTTTCGTTGGAAATGCCATCTGCTGCTTCTTCCCAGCTCCGGAGCCCACGAATGGATGCCCTGGGGCACTCCCCTCAGCACCTCCTGCAGCAGCTTGCTGAAGAGACCACCAAGGCAAACCCACAGTTGTGTCCTCTGCTCGCGCAGCTCCCCAGCCAAGAGTCTGGTCCCCATGAGGCAGTGATGGGGACCTAAGCCCTGTCTTTCACCATCATTCATTCAAGGACAGTCACATTTTGATGGCCTCCCTCAAATCCCGCCCCCTCATGAATCACATTTCTTTCTTAAATTCAGAATGTCTCCCAGGGAAAGCAGGGGCCTAGGACACCTAAGGACAGAGCCCCTTTTGTCTGTCTTACCTGGCTCTTTGCCTTTCTATGCCTTGCAATGTGACTGAAGTAAGCAGCAGCAGTGACAGCAGCTGTATTCACAAACAGGGGTCAGAAACTGAGGCACGTCCCAACAGTCTGGAAGTAGGAATTCTGGAGGGAGGCCCAGAAGCCCAGCCTGAGGCTAGTGCCCCATATCCTTCTCTAGGCTGAGGTCTGCCTTGGTGGTCCGGGCCACATGCTTTTATTTCTGATTCTTGTTCTTTCTCTGAAGCAGGAACCTGCATCGCCATTTATGCAAATCCCTAGGCCTGCAGGAGGAAGCTGGGTGTTCATGGCTTCCCCCTCCTCCAGGGCACTGCAAGAGCACCACGGTTCTCAGACTCCTTCAGAGAAAGCAGACTTAATTCCATACCTCCAGACTCCAGCTACACTCTCCTTGGAGCACACAGAAGCTTCCCAGGCTGGCCCCGGACCCTCGAGTTCCATCTTCCTGGCTCCCAATTCCCTGACTACACATTTGTCTTCAGACACCCCCTCTTCTGTGTGGCCTTCCTGGCAATCTGCTGGGCTCCAAATGCTCCTGGGTTCTGAACCATCTGTTACACTAACTGAAGTTCCAAGAGCTATGAGGGCTGAGCAAGACCCTGCCTGGCTATCAGGAAGTCCCTTCCCACCGGGAGAATTGTCAGGGGAGACTGTGAATTCAATAGAGTCCACGGAGCCCAACCCGAGAGAGCCTGCCCGAGTCAGTGAGGAGCTTCCGATGTTGATAAGGCCCTTCATGAGCAGCCTGGCTGAGGAGGGGTTGATTTTCCACCATGCCCCCAGGAGGCCTCAGAAGACACTACCTATAATTAAGGCTCAGGAGTCAGGGCAGAAAGACCATGATCCCCCTCGAGAGGGGGCCAGAGGGAACCTGGACCTAGCAACCTCAGAATCAAGCCAGGACATGGAAGGGCTGGGACTCACCGTCTCGCTGGGGACAGATGCCACATTCCCCACCCCAAGAGGGAGGCAGCCAGATGCCAGGGTTCATCTGGGCATTGCAGGTCCAGAGCCTGCTGGGAGGCCCAGGCTGGGCCCGGCAGCTCTCCAGACAACCTTCGCCAAGGGCCTTCTGGCTTCCACCGCTGAGAAGCCTTCTGGAGGAGGTGTAGACAGAACCCTGCAGCCAGAGTCAGCACCTACACAGCCCAAGGGCTGGCATGATCTGGGGGCTGCCCACGCCAGTCCCCTGTCTTCACATACCCAAAACCTTCTGCTTCCTACAGAAACCATATTGCCCCACTCTGGTGAGCCTGGAAACTCCCTCCTTGATGGTCAGGAGGCAATGGGGTCCAGGTTGGCCCCTACCCCAGAAAGCCATCAGCCTCCTGAGCTTTAGCACACATGGAGGGGCACTTTGAGGGGCCCCTGTGCTGAGGCTTTCTGGAGACTTCAGGGGTGAGTCATAGGAGTGTCCAGGGAGGGAAGGCATGGAGGAAGGGAAGGGCATGGTTTGGTATGCTCACACTTCCCTTCAGGAAGCGGCCTGGGACAGCGCAAGAGCCCTTAGCCTCCTTGAGCTGGCCCAGCTATGTTTTACAACTTCCCTCTATTAAATCTGGGACAGCATCTGGGCAGGGTGCTGGCCCTACAGCTGGGCCTACCCGAGTGTAGGGCTCTGGTCCCAGTGTCTCCATTCTAGCTTTGTAACCTCAGTGGGGAGGACTAACCTTTCTGAGCCTCAGTTTTCCCATCAGTTGGATGGAAATGATATGAGTTCCTCCCCAGTGGGTTTATTAAAGGGGGTGAACAAGGGTCACACAGAGTCTTGAGTGCAGAGTCCTGCCCAAGCATGCTGGGCACCCCAGGGGAGGAGGATGGAGTGTCACTCCTTCGTTTTCTGCTCATCACATCCTGTGGTTTCTGTGGCAGCAGCAGCTGGTACCCTTCTGGCTTGGACAAACCCATTGATCTGCAGTGACCCAGAGCTCCCCAATTCCGTGGCCCAGTAGCCCAGCCATGGCCAGGCACAGTGGCCTGGGCTGCAACCCCACTCAGTGCTTCCCTGAGAGGGCAGTATCTCACCCCGCTACCCCCCACCCCAGCCGACCTGTGGCTGGAAGTGGGATTTGAAACGCAGCCAAGAAGAGGAGGCCAGCGGCAATGCCAGCTCAGAATGCGAACTAAATAAATAAATAAATAATCAGGGTTGTCTTGGCTGATAAACGGTCCCTACCTCGAAGACGACTTCTCCCCCTGCCTGCCCCCCTCCTTCCTCTTTCTCCGGGCAGATCCATCCCAGGCAAAGGCTTAATAGCCCCATTTAAGGCTTTTCCTTTTCACCACGGAATTGAGCTGCTCCTGCCATTACAAGGTTTTCAGCTTCTCTCTGAAATCAAATTACTGACTCCATTTAATTTTTTAAAAGCTCAGATGATTTCCCTTCTTGAATATGAACCGTGACTCCAAGGCCAGCCCCCTCCCCTGTCCCCCAACAGGCACATCCCCAGCTGCCCGGGGATGGCAGCCCCCAGGCCAAGGCAAGCCTGACACCTACAGGGGAAGCCAACAGAAGGCAGTTCAGGTTCCATCCTGGACACATGGCTGCGTGGTCTTGGCTTTCCCTGCTTCTGTAAACTCACAGGAGTCCAGCGATCCCACATTGGCATATCTCCAGATGCCAGTGAGATCAGTGGTCAGAGCCCAGCCTGATGCCCTGGGCTCATGGTTATTCTGCAGGACCACCTCCCCACGCCCCACCTCACCCCCATCCCCACCCTTGCCCACTGTCTTCCATCCCTTAACAGATGTCTATGGAGCCATTACTTTGTACCAGGTACCATTCCAGCTCCAAGGAGACCCTCTAGACACAGAAAAGTCCTTCCTTCTTTGTGCGCACTTTTGTGTGTGTGTGTGTATTCTAGGGTTGGAGGTGTAATAACCACACGGGGCAATTCCAGATGTTTCTCTGCTCCGAAGAGAACCAAGCAAACAGCTGGGGTTGGGGTTGCTTTGAGTAAGAATATCAGAACATGGCCAGAAGAAGGTCGGTTGGAGGCAAACTCAGAAAGAGCCAGGGGAGTTGGGCACAAGGCACGGTGGCATAGGCTGTGAACCCAGTGCTCAGGGTGCTAAAGCAGAAGGCACCCGAGGCCATCGGGGGCTACAAAATGAGACCCTGTCTCAAGAATAACAAGCACAAACAAATAGAAAAGAACTAGCTGGGTGAGGTCACCCAGGCCAAGGTCATTGAAGAAGATACCGAAATAGGATGGTGTGGAAGGTAGGGACCCTGAGGATTTGGATGCCCAGGAAACTGAGTTTTACTCTAACCTCAACGGCCATCTAATAAGGTATGACCGTTAGGAAACAAGTGGCCTTCGGTGGGTGCTTTACAAAGGTAGCCATGGTTGGTCAGAGGGACAGGAGCAGAAGCCAGGATCCTGGAGAACATGGGCTGTTTCAGGGCTTGCCTGCTGTTTTAGAAGGAAAGTGACTCCCAAGGTCTTTCCTGCATCATGCGCAATTCCTGTGTTCTGAGGATGTGCTGGCAGTGATCAGCGCATCCTTCCATCTCTGATCTTTATTCTGGTTACAGTGTTGCCCCCAGGAGTCATTCTGTGCCTTTGTTTCCTCCACCTTTCACTCTTTCTCGTCTCCATTTCTCCAAGGCCACCTGGCTTTGGGACACAGAAGACCTCATGAGCATACCCAGGATTCTGTGAATTTTGAGCTTTTTCCCAAGTCCTCCATGTCTTTTACCAACCTGCATCCTTGGGTACCAGACAAAGAGAATGGAGTCAATGATGCCATCAGGCTCAGGGTCAGGGTGTAGCTCAGTAGGTAGAGCAGTGGCCTAGCTAGAGGCTCTGGGTTTGACCCCGCCAGCACTGCACAAACCAGGCATGGTGGCACACAGCTGGAATCTCAGCAATCCAGAAGTGGATGTTCAAGGTCATTCTAAGATACACGGCACATTTGAGACCAGCTTGTGGTAGATACATGAGACTATGTCTAAACAAAATAAAATAAATAAAAGAGTCCCCATACAAGGTCCAGTGATTCACGAAGCAGGAACTGGCCTGGGCTCTGGGCCCTCTTTCCGGCTGGAACAAACAGAAGTTTCTCCCCCCCTCACCCTGCTCTCATCCTCTCAAGAGTGAGAAGTCTTCTTTAATCAGAAAGTGCTCGGGGTTCTGTTTAGGACTCCTGTTCTCTTTTAAGATGTAACAGCACCAGCTCTGGGACCCCCGCCCCCTTGATGTACCAGGGCCAGAATGGCACCCATGACCAATTCCGGGGCTATGGCGGGCATATTTGTGAACATTGTCCCTGCCTTGGGGACATCTAATTCTCTTGCTGAGACCTCCCAGGTCTTGCAGGCATCTGTTTATGCGTGACACATCTATGTGCCGTGACATCTTGAAGGGGTTGGGGGTGGGGCAGGGGTGGGGTAGGGGTCTCGGCCAGCCCAGGCTGTTCAAGGCAAATTAGGCATCCCTGGGTGCCTTGGGTTCTCCTCCCCAGAGACTATGCGGAGTCCACAGACAGCATGCCTGCACTGTTCTTCTCTCCTGTCTGTGGAGTAGTCAGTGCAGAGCCAGGAACCCTGGGTTTGCCTCTGTGAGCACCAACGCCATGGCCCTGAACTCTCAGAGTTTGATGCTTCCTGTGATGGCTTTCTGTCACAGCATACCCTTTTAGCGTTGGCTGCAAGTCTCTGTTGGGTATTTGAATCTTACTTATGCTAGAATTGTAGTTATCAACTCAGTAATTCCCCAAATTACCGAGTAACCGGAGAGGCTGTGTGGTGAGGAGAGCTTTCTTCTGGCTGTGTGTTTGTGTGTGCTGGTGCAGATTGGTCAGGTCCAGGACTGCGGTGACCTCGGCTGTCAGTTCATTTGCTGAGGCTGGATTCAGCATGGCGTGTCTGGAAGCAGGGTGGCTGGAACCTCTGACCTCTGATAAGGCAAGTCTGTTGGTAGAAATGAAGTCACTGTGCAGGGTCCCTGGTCCCTAGCTCAGCCCAGGCCTTGCCATCTGCCCACATCTCTGCTTCTTTCAGGTCTGAGTTTGGGGGGTTCCTGTGGGCTGCTTCAGACATCAAGGTGAGCCAGGCATCTAACAGGGACAAGTTGTTCTCATGTACTTAGCCAGGGGTCGCTTCTCCTTTTCTCCACAGCCACTCCCCTCTACTCCCCCCACCTATTCTTCAACAAACATTCAAGCACAGCCTCAAAACTCAGGATGTGTAACTCAGGATAACCTTGAACTCCCAGTCCTCCTGCTTCACCTCCTGAGTGCTGGAGTTACAGGCATGTCACCTTGCCTTATATCCATGCAGCGCTGGACATGGAACCCAAGGCTTCGTGCATGCTAGGCAAGAACTCTACCAAGTCAGCTCTATTTCCTCTCTTCAGCCCTCCTCTTTCCTCTTCTGAGACCTGGGGTGAGCCTTCCACTTCCCAGCGTCGTGGCTCTCAGAACTCCAGTGCTGACACTGAGGTTCCCAGTGATACCAGCATTCCTTGGGAATTTACTAGAAATGCAAATTATTATTATTTTACTATTATTATTATTTTAAGGCAGGGTGTCATGTAGCCCAGGATTCCCTTGAACTCAGTGTGAGCTGAGGCTGCCCTTGAATTTCTGATCCTCTGTTTCTATCCCAGCTGATGAGATCACAGCCATCTCCCGCCATATTCAGCTTAGACGTGCAAACTCTCAAACGGGGAATGCTGTAGCTCAGCTGTCAGCACGACCACTGCAGGAGGGAACAAACTGGGCCACACCCCAGATTGACAGATCAAGAAATTCAGTCAGTGAGGTTTAGCCTTTTGCATTCTAACAAGGCTTCCAGAGGATTCAGCTCCTCCATTGCACACATGAACTCAACTGTGTTAGCAAGTGAGAGAGAGAGAGGGAGAGGGAGAGAGAACTCCCTAAGTCAGAGAACACCCCTGTTACTAGAATAAAGGTGACATCCTGTTTCCAAAGTCTTGCCGCTCCATCTGCGGAACCACCTCTCTGGGGAAGAAAGAAATCCCTCTTCCCATTTTATGGATGAGGAAACTGTGGCTCATAGCCCTGTCCAAGGTCACATAGCTGAAAACAGGAATTCAAGGTCATCCATTCTGGACTTTTTTTTTTTTTTTTTTTTTTTTTAGGCAAGGAATCCTTCCAGCACATGTTGGGTTTTCAGGATTCCTTAGACCAAAGAAACAAACACAGGTCCTTGGGCCAGAAAGTAGATCCGCCTTCCAGCTTTCTGCCCAATTTCCAGTTGCAATCACAAGAGCGAGCATCCAGGAAGCATAAATTTTGCCTGGCAGTTGAGTAAGAGCTCTGAAAGGAGTTACACGTCAGGGAGATGGGACTTTATTTCTCAATGAAATAGCCTTTTTATGGATGGAATAAAAGTGCCAGGGGGAGCCAGGAAGTCGCAAGCACATTTGATAAACTCCTCCAGCCAGGGCGGGGCTGCATGGGAAGTCGTGGCAGAAATCTCCAAAACTCCAGTGCATGTCTCTCTGCAGATTGGAGTCGCGGGAGAGATCTTGAGGCAGGTGGGAGTCCTCGTGGCCCTTCTGGAAGGAGAGTGGCTGACCCAGGGAGAGGGCTTGCAACGGGGTCTCCCGGTCTTAAGAGCAGAGCTGCAATGCGGAGAGCAGTCAGCAGGGGGCAGCATTACACACTGTTCCAGCTTGACCTGTGGCTGCTGCAAGGGGAGGGGGAGGGGGCTTGGGTGTGGGGGCCTCTGGGGTGCAACCCTCAGAAGAGGTCAGCAGTAACTTTCTCCTCATTTCAGCCTTCCTCTCTTCAGCCTCTCCATATCAAAGAACGTTTTCCCATAAGCAGGAGACTGTACCCTCATTTAAGTAATGGATGAGGTCGGGCTTTCCATGTCTCGCCCACCCTGCGGCTGGCTTCTTACGCTTCTCCAGGTTTATCTTTGACTAATAACCCCCTGACTTCCTCCCGCCGCTGTCCTAGTGTAAAAACGTGCAAATGGGCAGGCTTTGTGGGATGGGGAGGGGGTAGCCGCCTTAGTAGTCACTGGGGGTGTGAGAAAGTCCTGAAGGACAAAGAGAAAGCAAGGAAATCTCCTCATTTGAGAGAGTGTGTGATTGGCAGGTTTACGGCCTCGAGAAGGTGCGTGGTATTCCGCACAATCAAGTCATTTTTAAAAATAATCTCCCTGCTTAGGTCGTACATGCTGCTAATTGCATTTTAATAAGTCTCTTAAAATCTTGCCATATTTTTTAATATCCTAATATTAGGTAAGTGATTGCGGGGGACACTGGAGGGCACGGGGAGTTTATGTAACCGAGGGAGGGCTCCAGTGAATCTGGAGGGGCTGGGAGGGGCTGCCAGAGGCCTGAGCCGCGTGAGGGTGTCTGCGTTTATGCGCGTGTGGGACGTGAGGGGTGTGAGAGTGTGCCCGGGAGTGTGATCAGGGTGTGGGCGTCCCGACCAGCAGTCCTTGCTTTCTCCAGTCGCTAAATCAAGACTCTGTGGAGGACGCAGACCAGAGCCCCTTTTCCTCTTCTAGCCCCAATGGGCAACATCTGAGCGTGAGCAAACCTCTGACAAGCTTGTCTTGCCCTGCGTTTTCCAAAGACCAAACGTGCCCGACTCAGAGAGGGGCCACCTGGCAAGATGGAGACCCCAAACCTCAGGCCGGAGTGTGGCCATCCTCTCTTCCCTTTCCAGCCCGAGGCTCTGGCTGGGCCCGCTGGCCCTGGCGTCCTACAGTGCTGCTGTACCTCTGCCCTGCGCAGAGTGAGGTGCCGCTGTGGAGCCCTTCCCCACACACCTGGCGTTGTGTGCCGTTGGTTGACCACTTTCCCCTAAGTGACCCCAAGAGTCTTGGAGTGGACCCAGAGTCGAGAAGTAGCAGAGAGGGCATCTGAATCTACAGTCAGCTCCTGTCACTAGTGGAGGCTCGTGTGTGTACGTGTGTGTACGTGTGTGTGTGTGTGTGTGTGTGTGTGTGTGTGTGTGTGCATATGTGCATGAATGCAGGCATCTGTGGAGGCCAGAGGCTTCAGACACACTGGTTCTGGAATTACAAGCAGCTCTAAGGCACCTGCTGTGGGTGCTGGGGATTGAACGTGGGTCCTTTGAGAGAGTAGCCAGTACTCTTAACACCAGGCCATCTCCTTAGCCCCACACCCAGCTTTTTCACATGGGTGATCTAACTCAGGTTTTCACCCTTGCCAGCACTTTACTGAGTGAGTTCTCTCCCCAGGTCCCAGCAGAAAGGCTCATCCCGCCTGGGTGGGTGAGCTGGGGTTCTAGGGACTTGCTGCACAGCCAAGTAGCTAGGCCTGTGGACACTGTAATGAGACAGCAGAGGGACCGGCAGAAGCTGGGGAGCCAGCCCAGCCACCGGCTGACTCCTGAACTGTCTGTTACCAAGGGCAGGCTCCTCCAGCCAAGGTCACTATTTCTGTACTCAGGGCCTCTGTAGGTCAGAGGCGTGGGAGAACCATGCCGAGGTCACTGGGTCCAAGCACTTCAGCTAGTCTTTGGAGGCTCCTGGATGCCTCTGCTGGCCCTGGCCATCCTCCTGCCGCCTCCTCCTTATCCACACCACCAGCCCTGGTGGGAGGCACATGTTGAGCGAACTTCTGAACAGGAAGTCAGCGTCCAGGTCGGCCCGAGTCCCTTTTCATGTGGTTTCTTTAATCCCCCGGGCTGGGTTTCAGAAGCGTTTTATAGTTTCAGTTTTACAAAGCTATGCTCCCTTTAATGTTGGCGTGTTCGAGAGGTGGGGGAGAGGGCTTCAGTCAAAACATGTGTGCATTACCCCAGCCAGCTGCGGGGCTGCGCAGCCCCGGGAGGGGAGGAGACAATGTGGCCTCCAGGCTCCGCAACACGGGGCCTGAAGGGATGCGGCTGAGATCCCGAACGAACACGGACTGACATCCGCTGGCCCCTCTCCCAGGCTCATGCTCACCTGGTCCTCACCACGGTCAGTAGTGCCAGTGTCCACCACCCTGCCCATCTGGTGCTTCATTTGGGCAGGAGAAAGCTGGACTTGGCACGCCTTCACACTCTGGGCCTTACCCACCAGCATCCTGTGCTGTTATTTAGTGTTTTTCCCTACACAGACATAAAGCTAAGCAGAAATAGCCAGGAAATGGTCAGTTTGATATGTCAGTTATATCTGGATGGTCTCACACACACAACCCCCACCTCCAAATATTTAACTTTGTTATTCTTTTTTTTTTTTTTTTTTTTTTGAGACAGGGTTTCTCTGTGTAGCCCTGGCTATCCTGGAGCTCATTTTGTAGACCAGGTTGGCCTCGAACTCATGTATATCTGCCTGCCTCTGTTTCCCAAGTGCTGGGACTAAGGCATGTGCCACCATACCAAGCACAAATATAACTTGTAAATGAGAAGAAAAGGCTAAAATCACACCATTGTCATGCATGGGAAGTCAGTACAACAAATATGTCCCCATTCTCTGGATAAGACAATTTTTTAAATTCATTTATTTTTTTATTTATTGGTTTTTCAAAACAGGGTTTCTCTGTGTAGCCCTGGCTGTCCTGGAACTCACTATGTAGACCAGGCTGGCCTCGAACTCACAGAGATCCGCTTGTGTCAGCCTCCCAAGCGCTGGGCATGTGTGTACCGTGGCCCAGAAGTCAGAGGACAACTTGCAGAAGTCAGCTCTCTCTTTCCACTATGCTGGGACCCAGGGAGCCACAACCTTGGACTTGGTGGCCAGCACCTTTACCCTCCAGCAGGAAGGTCATAGGGTCGCCATAATATGTCCAGCCTTTGACCCCTCAGCCCTCGAGGACTTGCAATACGACTTTGTGTTGGGGTTCCATCTGAAGTGATCCTGGGGGTATGGAGCCCTGTGGGTTTAGCAGAGTGTCCGGGGTCTGGGGAGAGTGTCAAGGAGTCGGCGCGGTTCTTCCCTGATGGGTGTGTCTGCAAGGCTACTGCTCCTCCACCTGTAGGTCTCAAGTTGCCTGGACTCACGCTGGGTCCAGAGAGAAGGACCGAACTTCTCAGCAGCGGACTGGGTGTGGGAAGAACAGACTTTGGAACCAGTGAGGCCTGACTTAACTCTTGGCTGTGCTTCCTCCTAGGAGTGTTAGCATGGGTGAGTGCCAGTGTCTCGGGGCTTTAAGCCGGAGTCTTCCACGGGAACAGCAGCACTGGTGTGGAGACACTGAGGCAAGAGCGAGCCAGTGCCGGCTTCTGGTTGTTTGGAGCCTGGGACCCTTGTTTCTGACCCCAGCCTTCGCTTTGCTATGGGTCCTGCCTTCTCCAGCGTTGCTGGGCAAGGGGCCTGGTTCCCTGTGTCCTGAACAGTGTGAGGACAGATCTGTGTTCTGGCCGGGGTGGGGGGGGGGGGGGGGGGGGGGGGGGGGGGGGGGGGAGGGATGAGGGGGGAGGGGGGGGGGGAGTTGGGGCAGAGGGGTGGTTGGCGTATACCACCCCTGGGAGGTGACAGGGGCTGTGCTCCTATCAAGGCACATGCTTGTCCCTTGCTGGTCCCAAAGTTCTGTAGGAATTCCACAGTCTGCAGCAGCTCATACCCCAGAACCCTAGTGCAGCATCCCTGCTCTGAGTGACCACCTTCAGCAGCCAGTGGCCTCCCACTCCTCACCTCTCTGATGCAGTCTTGGGGGTGAACGCTGCTCCTGGAGCTGGTTCCCTTTCCTGAGAGGCTGCAGTGGTCAGGAGATTCCTCCAGTGTGATGGACAGGGCTGAGCCCTTTACACATTACCTTCCATCTTTCCCGTGTCACTCACAGGGAGGAAGCTAGAGCACTGCCTGGCTTAGGCTGAGTCCTCAGAAAGATTTCCTAGGACTGGGAGGACTAAGGCTGGTTGAACAAGCGTGGCGACCTGAGTTCAACCCTCAGAAACCATGTGAAAAAGCTGGGTGCAGCAGAGTGCCTGGAATTTCAGAGCTGGGGAGGTGGAGGCAGCAGGACACCTGGGGCTTGCCAGTCTAGCCAAATCAGCAAGTTCAGGTTCAGCGAGAGATCAGGTCTCAAAACGTAACCTGGAGAGTTATGTCGACCTCTGGACCCTCTGGGCATGCGCACATGCGCACACAATTGCTGAAGTACAGAGGCTTAGCGAGGATGGGCGATGAAGAGCTGTTCCCACAGCATTATGACACAGTTCTGCGTGTCGCACCTGCTGCTTTCCTTTCCGGTGACTCTGTCCACTGACCCTCCCCACCCCCCCGATGCCCAGGGGAGAACTGCCTTGGGCCAGGGGCCCCTCCTGTCCCCTCGGGCAGTGAAGGGTTGGGCTCTGGCCCTGCTACAGCTGCTTGGGGCCCAGGGAGAAGAGAATCAAAGGCAGGCCATGTGGGCCCCCGCTTTCATCTCCCAGCTTCAAAGAGGTGCAAACAAACCCTGTCCCTATGCCAGGCGCTGCAGCAGCTCGCTGCTCACAGCCCTGGCCTGTCCTTCCCCATCTTCTCCTCCTTCCCAGAAAGAAGACAGGGCCCCAGGCCTGGTCCCAGAACACGCAAAGGGTCCTGACTGCAGGCAGAGCAGGCAGTGCTGGGCAGGGGCCACCGTGCAGCCAAAGGAAGGTCTGTCAGGCAGGACCAACGTGACTGAGACCATCCATCTCACACTCTCCAACTGTGGGCCAGCCTGGGATCTGGGGGCTCTCATACTCTGACTAGAACCTTCCAGTCAGGAGCTGCACTGCTCACGATGATGGTCATGAGTGGTTCCTGGGCACCCAGGATGGGGCTAGACCAAACGGACATGACCCCTGATAGTATACACATAATGTCAGGAGGGTCCAGCATGGTTCATGAACCATGTTTACATCAATTCGCCACTGAAATGGAAACAACGGGTGCCATTAGAATTTTTAAAATGTTAGTAAAATTAACTTCACCACCAGCTCCTTTTTACCCCTGTCGATGTGTGACAAGGAGGTTGGAAATGGCACGGGGTCCCTTTATTCCTTGGGAACATTCGGCTCCAGCTGCATTCCCATTCCTCATATGAGGGGAGGGGTTTTTGTCATATGGCTCCCCAGGTGATACTCAGCGAAAATCTATGGGATGGACAGGTTGGTGGCTGGGGGAGGCACGGATGAACCCTGGTCACAAGCAGACAGATGGTCCAGAGTCTGGCCCAGAGCTTGGTGGATGTAACCATAGAATCAGATCCCAAGTCTCTCTGGCACCTTCAGCCTCTGAACAACAGGGAGAGAGCCACCAAGAGGCTCTCGGGTTCATACTCTGGGTTTTGCTGCTTTGCCCATGTGTGACCTTGGATTAGGCTTTGTTTGTTTGTTTGTTTGTCTGTTTGTCTGTTAGTTTTGAGACAGGGTCTTGTGTAGTCCAGCTGGCCTTACGTTCCCTGTGTAGATGCAAGTGGCCTTGATCTTTAATCCTCCTGCTTCTACCTCCTGAGTGCTGGGATTATAGTGGGGTATGGGATTATGTGCCCTGCTACCCACTTGACCTGGTGCTAGGGACAGAACACAGGCCTTTGTGTCTACTCGGCACATGCTCTGCTAACTGAGCCATGGCCCCAGTCGAGACCCAGCCAGCCCTGACTCTGTAAGATGGGGTGACATTATTGATACTAATGAAAACAGTGCTTATTATCCCAACTCTTTCCCAGGAAAGCAGAGAACAGGGCTGTGAGAACGGAAGGCACCTCCACTCCAGTCACACAGGACAGCGCTCCTACGGCGAGAGCACCGTGTTAGGAATTGAGTCACACAGTGTCACTGTCCTGTGGGACACGCATCAGCTGAGGTCACACAACTGATAAGTGGCAAAGCCAGGGTCTGGGCCGGAAGCCACTTTGGTGAGGTGCCCCAGAGAGCTAGAGTCAATTCTGTCAGACACCATCGGACTAGGGCTGGGTCAACCCGAACAGGAGAGAGCTACCTCCCAGGGGAAACCTCTGCTTTCCCCTCTGCCATTTCTCTGAGTCCACCTGGGCCCTGGGTCTCTTCTCCCAAGACTGATTCCCCTCTGTCTCCTGGAACTGTCATTTCTTCCCTGACCCTCTCTGGTCCCATCCATCTATTACCCCAGCTCTGCTTCTGAGGTCCCCTGAGGGTGGCTTTGGGGCTTTGGATTGGAGTGCTCTCCTGCAGCATCCAGGAGAGGAGGGTACAGTGGGGAGGAGACAAAGAAGCTCCAATGATGGAGTAAAGAGACCAGGCTAATTGGGCTCCTGAAGGTCTGGATGGAACTTGGGAAGCTGTAATGGGTACCATGAAATCCTGGGGCACCCCAAGAACAGGGGAGGGCAGCCACAGTAAAGGTCTGAGGGGCAACAAGATGAAACACGTTCATGGTGGAGGCCAAGAAGCAAGGTCAGGTCGTTGGGGACCCCTCTGGGCAGAACTTGCTAAGGGCTGAAGGAGGAGGGGGCTGCTCCCACAGCTGGGAATGGGGGTTCCCAGAGGTGGTAGCAGGAAGTGAGTCAATTGGAACCAAACAGGGCCAATGGAAACCAGATGTGATTAGGGTCGGGGGCGCTTGCAGGGGGAGATGTTTTCCCTTTCCTCACAGGCTGTGGCTGGGGGAAGGGGAGAGCGTGAAGCCCCACCCCCACTCGGTCTCCACCTCTGGCCCAGTGTGGCATCAGGAGCTTAAGATAAACCAGCAGTTCCTAAGAGGTAAGGAAAGTCACAGCTGGGAAGGAGTTTCCCACCATCCCTCCCAACCCCCACAGACCGTCTCTAGGGAGGGGGCAGGGCAGGAACCTCCTGACCTAGGCTCTGCCCTTAGGTTCTTGGGGATGTAGGCTCTGGGGATCTTCGGTGCCTGTCTTACTCTAGTTGCTTGCTGGTATTGCAGGCTCCTTGCTGGTAGGCCTTAGAATCTAGGCGCTGTGGCTGGCTCTCTGTTTCCAGTGGGCCCTCTTGAATCCTTAGGTCAGACCAAGTACCCGATCTGTATC